TGGTGCATACAATAAGCAGCTGATTACTGTAACTGTAGACAGATTTTTTTTTTTTACCTCTTTTCTTTGCTAAATGTCCTAATAACAGATGCCACTGTATATCTGCTTAGTTTTGGCTGAACTCTTTGTCCAGCCTCCCTCAGCATTAATCCATGGTTCACAACATGGTCAACTAGTGTTGCTTGAATTTCATTTGATAAATTTGGTCCTCTTCTTCTTTGAGCACGTTCTCCTCCTGCTTCAGGTCTTCCTCTTCCTCCACCTCGGCCTCTACATCTGGCACGGCCTCCGCCTCTTCCTCTTCCTCTACCTCCTTCTCCTCACCCTCACTCTTCTTCTGACTCCTTCCATTTTGGTTGAAGACAGGTGAACTCACGTGCTGCATTTTTATAGTGCTTAAACCTGATTGGTGTGTCTACAATTAAGCAATTATGTGTTTGCGCACCTGATGGCTGAGTTTAACTAATTGGCTCATAGGTGTGATAATTTGACAGTCAGTGCTTTGGAATTGCAAGGAAGTGACATCATGATATACTTCTGTGTCTAATGTATATAAATGTGTTTAGTGTTTTGCAAATCACTATGTGTATTGTTTTGCAAAAAGTGTGAGGCTGACATTGTGCTTATAGTAGTGCAAGGTTGTGATAATTGTGTAATACTTTTGATTTTAGTGTTTATGCAATCGAAAAAAACTGTAATAGATAGAATAGTAATAATAGATTTGAAAGAGTGTGTAACATTAGCAGCTCTAGTGTTGTTCCAGTACCTGTACATAACAACAGTCACTAACCTGACAGTTCATCCTGTTCTGACAGGATTACCATAAATGTAATGGTGCATGAGAGGAAGTCTGATCATAATCAGTGGTGAGCAGTAGTTACACAGCCACAGCCTGCCTCCACACCAGAGTGCTGGGGAGTCACCCAGTGGTTACAGTTTTGTAGAACCACCTTTATCAGCTTGCATCAGAACTAGTAGATCCAGACTGAATCAGCAGGCCTAGCTGTTTGTTCTCTGTTGTCTGGATAATCGCTGTGACACTGCATGTAGAAGCTGCTACAGTTCATGTGGATGACAGAACCAGAAAACACCCTGACACCTCAAAACCTTCTGTCACGTCGAGACTGTTGATGTAGATTTATTGTAATTTTTCATACAATAATTTGTAGAGCTGTTCAGCAAATATTCTACTGAATTGATTATCTGGTTATTGATTATCTTAATGTTAGTGAAGGTCCACTCCAGACTGATGATGCTTACTCCCACAGTTCAGCTTACTACAAACACTTCCTGTCTTCTACAGAAAACAAAAGCTTCCTCAGTGTTTCTGTACTGTACCACAAACAAAGGACAGACTGAACTCTTTCTTTCTTTATCATATTTTTAACACTAATATTTTTTAGCGCTATAACAATTAGTCAA